TCTCATTGCGGCCTTGCAAGCATCTGTGGCGGCAATGTTGGGGGGCGAAACCTTGCACCACATTGCAGGTATCAACCCCTTTCATTCCCAAAGTGCAACGTCCGAGAAGAGCCAGGAGGCACAGCAGAAGGAAGCAAGTAGGCGGCTTGCGTTTGCTCGATATTTGCTCATTGATGAAATTTTTATGCTGAGCGCAGGGTTCTTTGCGGAAGCAGAAAACCACATCAGAGCGAAAATCCCCCAGAACAGCTTCTTTCGACAGGGGCCGGATGGGGCTATGCGCCCCTGGGGCGGATTGAATGTGACGATGTTTGGAGATGTGCGGCAGATCGATCCACCAGAAGGGATCGCATTGTATACGGTACCGTCATGTCTGCTGACACGGCCGAGACCCACAGCGCTAACACCACTGGCAGCCCAAGGATTGGAGCTCTTCTGGGACTCAAATGTGGAGCTGATAGAGTTTGTAGAAGTGTACAGGTGTCAGGATGAATGGTGGCAAGAGGCGGGGGGGAGGCCAAAGAGTAGGGGGTAACGAACTTGTGGCATGCAGACCCCAGAATACACGCATGGAAATGGCCGTTGGTCGGTGTCCAGGTCTTGGGCGAGTTCCGTGTGATGGATGTGAAGGAGGATACGCACGCTTTCTTGCATGGCTTGGAAACGCGAGTGGCTGGATCGTTTCTGCGGGGGCGTGTGCTTTGCGGCAATGAAACCTGCAAAGGGCTGGAGGCAAAATGGAAGGTACTGCGGCAAAAGGGGCAACTTGGAAGCATTGCCAAAGCATAGAGTGTGCAGTCTGCGCGGCGGAGCGGCAGAATCGATGTAGAGTCTTGCAGGACCACCCTGGGGCGTATGCCTTCGGGGGCGCTTGGATGGATGCGAGGCCAGAAATGGCAGGATTTAAGGATGCACCATGCATAGTACCGAACAATGATACGCGGACGGAAATCAACAAGGCTCGCAGTCGGCTTTTCGCAGCTGAAAGAAGGGAGCAAGTGCAGTGGTGTATGGCGGAGGACCAAATTTCAGCAAGAGCACGGGCTATAGAGCCTGACATAGGACGACGCAAGGTGGAGTTTCTTCGCAGAACTGACAAATCTTGTGGAGATCTATCAGGCATTCTGCCCCTCGTCAAGAAAATGCCGATATTTTTGACCCAGCATGTGGATAGAGACCCAGAGAGGAATCTTTTGAAAGGGCGCCGTGGCTTCATTGAAGATTGGGTGTTAGATAAAGAGGAAGGAGCAGGCGAAAGTTCACTGAAGGAAGTGGTGCTGACCAAGCCACCTGTTTGTGTCATTCTTTCCTTTCCAGGGGCAACGTGGCAGCTGCCGGGCATGGAGGCCGGAATGTATCCAGTCCAGGTATGGAAGAAGGATTGGTATGTGGATCAGAAGCAAAGGTACCCGAAGTTGCGCGTGACCCGCACGCAGCTGCCGTTTTGCCAAGGCTTTGCAGGCACGGCCAATTTTGCACAGGGGCAGAACTTGGGGAAAGTGTTTGCCGACGTCAGTATAGCAGATGGCACATCCGGACAGACGTGTTATGTGGCACTGTCGCGGGTGCGGACGCGGCAAGACATTTTTCTTCTAAGAGATTTTCCGAAGGATATGTTCTGCAAACCAGGCAAAGGGATCCCAGAGCTGCTGCTGCAGCATTTGAGAAGAGAAGGTATCAATTGGGCAGAAGTAACGGACCAGTTGTTAGGGGAGGAGAAAGAAACGCGAAGCGCAGCATGGACGCCGTGGCTCCAGTGTCGGACGTGCGGAGCAAAGGCTGCAGAGGAATTTGAAGATGTAGAGTTGGGGAAATGGCGAGACCGGCAGTGTAGGGGCTGTGTTGGCAAGCGCCAGAAGGGCTTGTGTGAGAAGTGTGAGAAGCCGTTGGACAGTGGTACCGGGGGCAAGCTGTGCACGAGTTGCGGAAGCAAGTGCGAAGCTTGTGGGGCGTTGTTGGGCGCAGGTGGACTGAGCCTGCGTTGCCAAGGCTGCGTGCGGAAAGTGCAATGCAAATGTTGCAAAGAATGGAAGTCCCACAGCCGGAGAAAGGTACAGCTATGTGCAAGTTGCGAAGATGCAATGGAATGTGGCAGATGTACCAGCATGAAGCGCAAAGCGGCCTTTTCAGAATGTGCCCAGAGAGCGCCGTCGAATATGTTGCGGAAGCAAAAACGAAGATGCAATGATTGCAGTTAAAAAATCAAAGCAAATTAGCGTGCGAAAGGTTGGAGAACAAGAGAGGGTGAGGGAGGCAAAGAGTATGGGCGTAAAGAGCTATGAGCTTTGGCTGGACTGGTTGGGAGTCGACCCCCGACACGAAAGAAAAGGCCGGTGTGTGTAGGACACGGCAAGTTGGGCAGTGCAGCTTTTTGGGACCTGTCTGCTGTGAAAGGTTGTGCCCAAAGAGTTGAAGTCACGCGCAGCCCGCAGCTGGTCGCGGAACAGGACGGGCTGTGGGAACGGGGCGGTGCACCAATCCTGACAGACCTGTGCAGGCATGTTGAAGCGCGGTTCTCTTTGCAGGTGGAAGGCTCAAGCTGGAAAAGGCATCCCAAGTGACGTGGGGTCAGCGGGCATGGCGTCAGAGGCCTTGGCTGCAGATTCAAGCATGGCGGGAACCGGGAAAGCCTTGGCTGAAGTGACACAAGCTTTGGCGGCAGCAGACCTGGCCAGCCTTGGCAAACTAGTTGCGGAAGACACCTTGGAGAACTACATGAAAGCTGCGGCGGAGGCTTTAGAGTGCCGGGCAAAGGAGCTCCTGCAAAGCTACGGCTGACTAGGGCCCATCCCCCAGGGCGAGAAGATGAAGAGCATGGTTTCATGGCCCGTGGAGAAAGGAGAGGAGATGCAACGTCTTGTGGAAAAGGAATGGAGCAAAGTGTGGGGGAACCTCCCCGCGAGAGCCCAAGAACATTTGGACGCAAGCTCGTTCAAACAAGCCTTTTTTTGGATGATGGCTTCGCGCTAGTCCAGAAGTATTTGGCCCAAGAGACAGAGCCAGAGCTGAGCCCGCTGAAGCGTCAGAAGCTGGACCCGCGGGGGTGTACGCCTCCTGGTGGGGAAGAGCTTGGGCTTGCAGTAGTCACTCAGTCTATAGCCGAGATCCTTGAGAACGGACGCTCCGCCAATGTGCTGCAAGCGTGGATCCTAGTGGCGCAAGGATCGGTACAGGCCCGCAAAACAGCCAAGGCAAAACCTTCCAACATCTATAGCTGCCTTGTGTCAGACGGGACCAGCGATGCGATCATCACGGCCTGGGGAGAAGGGGCGAAAAGCCTTTGTGATGGAGTGAAGACCTTGGTAGGGCGTAAGGTGCAACTCACTTCACTGGGTGCAAGCACCCGCGCCACCAAGATGGGCATCCCAGAGCTGATGGCTGGGCGTGGGCTGGCCGTCCGAGCCTTGCTTGGAGGCAGTGGAGAAGAAGCTCCGAAGCCAAGCCTCATGACAACTTTAGAATGAGCAGTTGGTGTCTCTAGGCTTTACCGCTTACCTCAAAGAATCTGGAGATGCCATCATATTTCTTATCTTTGTGTGTCTCCTTCATCATCCTTTATCACTTTCCATCTTATCTTATTACCTTTCTGTATCTCCTGTTCACGGATTTCCAAGATGTAGCGGTTAGACGAAAGAATCCAACCACAAAGCCAACTAATAATCCAGAAAGGGAGATAAGACAAGGTAAAGAGAATTAGAATGTAGCCTGATCCAAAATGATTTATTCCTTGTCAAGCAACTTTTTAATAAGAAATCAAGCATTATTTAGGAGACACAAATATAACTCAACCAGAATGACGAAAGAAGAGAGGAATGGAGGAGGATGTGATGGCTCCTTGAGTTACATTTCCTCCTATCTTTATACTTCATGCTTTTATTAGTCTTTATGATTTATGATTGTTGGTTAGTTTTTAGAATTATTACATCATGTCCTTTATCTATTTCTCTTTAATAATCCATCATTCTGCCCCTTATCTTTTTATTAATCACATCATATAATCTCAGAGATAATAGGAGATGAAAGACAAGGAAGATAGAATGGGAAGGTTTTAAGATTGATGACATAGAGAGTTAGAATGTGTCATAATGCTTCTGGATTCTTCTTTTTGAGGTCTTTCTTTTCTTTTCTTATGTTTGGTGTCATCATGAACCCTACAAAATACCAAAAAGACTCAAATTACAAGGACAAGAGAATGAAATGGTAAGGATAATGGGATATAATGATTTCCTGTGGTCTAACTCTCTATCTCTTCATCAATTCCAGATTGTTAGAGGTGAGTGACGGTAGGAAGGAGCTGATTCTAAGGTCTTTTTCTTTTACTATTCTTCTTTTACAAATATTCATATTATTTGGTTAGGTTATAATGTTGGATATAGAGATGATAGAATAGTTCCAGAGGAGATGAATGAAGTTGTACACCAAAAGCTTTTAATGAAGACCAGTCTATTTCCTTCTCTTTTACATTGTTTGGTTATTTTGTTTACATTATATTTTCTTTTTGTTTTCTAATAAAAGATTTATCATTTTAGTATTGTTGAAGCAGAGTATTCAGATGTTTCACACCAAAGTGGATGCAGGATTGTTCAAGCAGAGTTCCTGAATGATTCAAATCAAGGTTTATAGGAGGTGGTGTTGAAGCAGACTGGCCAGATGATGCACAACCAAGTTGCATTGAACAAACTGCTTTGTAGAAAACCCAACCTCCCAGGAGGTCCCACTCTCTAACTTAGAGGGTTGTTCAATTTGGTGGTTTTGAATGGTGTAATTTGATAGGTGTATTTAGAAAGTGCTCAAAAGTGTAGGGGGTGGTATGGGAAAAAATGCCATCTGACGGACGGGAGGCCGGGTCTAACTTAATGCGGGCCCTTCAAAGATCGTCGCACCCCTCGAAATGGCCCTAATGCAAGCAGAACTTGGGCAGTGCCGCCTTGGTTGCGTTCTGACTTTCTGATCATACTTCATTTAATCCAGGTTGGGCAATGCTTGCATCACGCGTTGAGGAGTTGACGAGAGAGGCGCTCAGCTGCCGCCCGCCTGGTGGCGATGAAGAGCTCCAAGTGCCTCAGGATGCCAAGAATGAGCTGAGGGCCTATGTCAGGAAGGGTCGAGCCAAAGGCTTACGTTTCCTGACAGACCTGCTGCCGACTCACGAGGCCCTCCGCGAGGCTTTGGCTGCAGAGGCATTGATTGACTTCTTGCAAGCGGATTATCAGGAAAAGGAGATCGAAATGAAGGAGCACCGGAAAGATTGCAAGAAACTTCGGCTCAAACTTAGCAGAGCTCGTGATTCACTTCTTGAAGAGGACCATTGCAGATGCTCATCTTATTTCCATGCGCTGGAGTTTTACCTGATGCAGAACCAGCAGCGTCAGCAGGAGCTAAAGACGGTGCTAGACAGGATTCGTCAGCAGGAGCTAAAGACGGTGCTAGACAGGATTGAGCGTGGCTTGAGCAGGCATAGGGCAAACATGTCTGGTGGAAGGTCGTTTGCCTATTCCGTCCGCATCTTCAAGCTTGCTCGCCGGTTTCTTGACACCTATCGTTCCACCGGGCACAGAATTGTAGTGCAGCGTCCGGAAGGCTGCGATGCCGTGCATTTCGTGCAGACTCTCCGGACGGCTTTTGAAATGCAAGGAACCCCCCCGATGTTGGTCAATGGTGAAAACCCACAGGAGGCTTTATCCGAACTGAAGGCCAAGGCCAAGACGAATGGGCCAGTTTTTCTGGTAGCAGCAGCAGACCAGCTGGTCCAGACAATGCATCGATTTCAAGAAGAGATACAAAACGTCAGCAGCCAGATAATAGCTTTTGTGCCCCCCAGCCAGTATTTTCCCAATCAAGCTTGCCGTGGCAAACATTGCGTTTTTGTGAGTGTAAATGTTTTGAACCATTGGTGCGTGTACGAGCCCTTGTGGACGTTAGAAGTGCTCTCACTGGAGGAAAAATGGCAAAAGCCAGACACGGTGACAACTGGATTGATGGATGATTTGCGGATGCAAACCCAACGGTTTGTAGATCTTGGTAGTTCAAGAAGAACTGCGACCAGGGCTCTGTTGAAATATTTGCAAACAGAAGCCTACGAATCTCTACAGCAATCGCAGCCGCGACGAGAAGACCCTGATGGCCTGTTAGAAGGCATTGTGCAAGCTTTGAAGTCTTCCCTGCAGAACCACCGACTAGCAGCAGAGTTTCCAGGCTTTTGGCAGGAAACAACTGTGAAACACATTGCGACGTGCCTGGCTTTGCTACTCAAGGGAGAAAAAGAGAGGGAGTCACGAATGCCATGCACAGATACACAGAAATGGTGCACACCCAGCAGACCTCCCTCCACGAAGTCTTTCATCGAGGTGCGCTCCCAGAATTCCATTGAGGATTTTCGCAAGGGTGTTCAAGAGGTTGAATATTTGGTGTTCGAGCCAGGCGAAATTGACTGCACACAGCCTCGTCCTCTCCGGAAGGCCTATGTCATGATTCGTCTCAATGCAAAAAAGGTGGCAAAAGTGCGTGCAGAAGAGACTCGAGGCAATGCAGAACGGCAGGATTTGGAAAACAACATTCGTCAGCTAAAGGGAAATATTCGTAGCCTTGAGAAGGAGGTAAACTCTTCCCACAGGGCGTCCTTGCAAGGTGACGACGCTAAAAAGCGAGGCCTTGCACGAAAAATAAAGGAGTTGGATGGGAAGAAGAGGACACTGGAAGAGAAAGAGCAGCGGCTGGGCGCGATTGACAAAGAGGCCAACGCAGCAAAGTTGTCAGGCTCGAAGGCTTCTCTGGAAGAATGGTGTAGCATGGGCGCCGACCATGAGCCTTCCAATCCCCACCCTGTTCAGAACGAATGGAAGTTTGAGACTTCTCTTGAGCATTACTTGTGCTTCGTGGAGCGTTTGCCATTCCAGACCCCTGGTGAGACTGGATTTGTGGTCTTCGACAAAGGCGCAGTTGGCAAAGGCAGTGTTGAAGGGGCCCAATTTGTGGCCTGCGCCAGGACACTCAATGAGGCAATGCAGGCTTTCACAACGGCCGGAACATTCGAGGGCCTGTTGAATGCAGCCAGAGCGAATAGCAATCAATCTATCAGAAAGAAAGCCGGAAGGCTACAGGATGACTTGGACGATGCTGCAGAGTGGAAGGTCAATGCTACAATTCATGAGTCGTCGGATAAAAAGCACCTGAACATCAAGGGCAACATTGGCGGCACCTGGAAACACTATCATATATATTGTCATGCAGTCCCAGGCGGGGCTCACGGGCCGAACAATAGGACAACCAACATATCCTGCATTCAAGCGCATGGACCCAAATCTTCTCACTGGGTCATCAAGGATATCCAGTGGAATGAGTTTTATCAAGGACAATTGCTGCACGCTTACCAAAAAGACCATGAGGAAGCAGTGAAAAGGAATCAGGCCAAAGGCAGCAGGGACACCTAGATTGTACAAAACAGTGCTTGTGCGGCTAGAGATGGAGGTGCCCACCTTCGAGCTGGGCTTTGTGGTGCTTGTTTGCCCCCATGGCTGAAGCCGTTGCCCGATTCCATAGCAACAGGGCTAGAGGCCAGACCACTGCTCCGTTTTCCAGCCTTTTCCACGTCCTTGCCGAAGGCAGGGCTGCCACGCGGCGCGAAATTCAGCCTTTCCATTTTTCAGTGCAAGTGACTCATTGTGACTCACTTTGCCGGAAGTTGCAAGCCAGTTTCAGCTGTCCAAAGGATCTGACTTCGGTGAAAGGTGAAGCAGTAAGACCCGTGTGCATACGACGTGAGGGGCCAACTGGCCATGTGGCGCAATGACAAAAGCCCGTGTAAGGCAGTTATAAGCAAAAGCGTATTATTGTTTTGGCGTGATCAGTTTGTCCTTTTGTTTCTGAGGCGGCACGCTTGGAAATTCAGGGAATCACCATGGGAGCGCTAGCCACGCGCTAGCCGGGCGCTAGCGTTTTGTTTGGTTTTGAGCTGTCCTTTTAGCCGCAGCTTGTTTTCAGTTTTTATCGGGGAATCGAGAGGCTGTGAACATTCCTTGCTCGACCGGCCTTTGGTATTCTGAAGGGTAATTGTAAACGTTGCGCGCTGCCCGCCTTGGCTGGGAAGAACAATTCGAGCTTGAGTAAATGATGCCAGCTGGGCTGAGCAGTCTGGCGGGCTGTAGCGCAAAGTGATTTCCAGGAGCGAGAGCTTGTTGGGGCGGCCTGGGTGCGGGTGTTATAAAGGCTGGGCTGAGTCGGGGGGGTGTGTGTGTGTGTTCCGTTTGGTTCACCCTTGACCTCTCTGCAATACGATACATTTGGCTCAAGGCCCTTTTTGATTGTACATAGTCCTACAAGACTTTGATGCATTGAAAAGGCTTGCAGACCGCTTCCAGCAGGTATTACAGCAACCCTTTGTAACCAGGACTATCCATTCTCAACTCAATCCACTGTTGGCACATTGGACCTTCTTGCGGAATAGATCCGGGGACCATATATACGACTTCTACTACCACAAGGTATCCGTTCCCTTCTGGGATAAGATACCCCCGGCAGTGGGGCTCAATTGTGGTAGCGGAGCAAGTTTTTCGCAGAGATCCAGAAGAGATGTCATCAGATGGAGAAGGCTTCATGGAAAATTTATCGATGACCGCCAAGCAGCCGCCATCGTACGACGGAAAAGTCAGCTGGTTTAGATATGAAGAACTCGTAGATGACTGGACGACCTTCACAACAATTGAAGCATCCAAGAGAGGACCTCTATTGAAGAGTAGACTCATGGGAGATGCTTACATGTACAAGGCAGTCCTTCAGAATGAACTTCTGCAAGATCCTGAAGAAGGAGTCAACTACTTCAAGAACACGTTGAAGAAGTACTTCCTGAAAGGTACCACGAATGTGTACCTATACAGGTTTTTCAGCTTCTTCAACCACCGAAGGCAGAACTCGGAGTTCCTCATTTTCACATCAAAATTTGAAATCCTTCTTATGAGATTGAAGGCAGCCTGGATGGACCTGATGCCAACTTTTACGGCACAGTCGCCAGAGTATCGCCAATCCGTACAAGAAGCGAACAACAGAACACTTGCTCGACACCAGCAAGCTGCTGGTGCCCGAGCACCGCCTCCAGCGCTGCTTGCCGAAGAAGATCCACAAGTACTCAGACAGTACATTGCAGGCACGCAGACAAGACAGCGGGACGCATTTCCCTGCGGGGATAATCTCATAGCGCAGTTTTTCATCATCCAGAGTGAACTGTCAGATCAACAGAGAGAAAGACTGACAAGTGCAATGTCCTTAAGGAACATCACACTCGAGAACTACTCCTATGAGATGCTGAAGACGCAGTACCACGACCTCTTCATCACGACCAGAACATCCATCCAAGATCCATCCATCCGACCCGTTGGTGGAAACCGAAGTAACACATTCTTCATCCTAGAACAAGGAGAATATGATGGAGAAGAAGGTTTCTGGGTTGAGGATGAGGAAGGATTGAAGGATTCATGCCGAACAATGATGAAGAGACATTCTGGGTCCTCGAGGAGAATGATGCGTTCATTGCGAGAAAGGTGTCTGGGCGGAATTTCAGATTCAAGAAGAGAAAAGGAAAAGGAAAATCAGGAAGCAAAAAGGGCAGTCACCAACGAGGTGGCTTCAAACCCTTTCGGAAAAGCGGTTTTGGCGGGAAGGCCAATATGGCCAACGAACAACAAGATCCCTACGACCAGGCATATTGGGGAAAAGGCAAAGGAAAGAAGGGCAAGAAAGGAAAATCGAAATTCCAATATCCCTATGATGGAAACAAAGGTTATCCATCCTATGACAATGGCAAAGGAAAAAGCGGATATGACAAAGGAAAATCCAAGACATTCGCAGCCATTGCAGAGAAACCAGAGGAGCAACCTGCCACGCAGCAGGCTGTCATTCCTCAAGAGCCCGCCTATGCCGGTTGGACAGATCAAGATTGGGATCAATCATGGAGTTGGAACGAACAAGGCTGGTACTCATCGCATGAGACATCCAGCACAGGACAAGCATTAATGGCATTCCATGGCGCGCATGAGCAACATGAGAACAAGGCCATCCACGAGAAGCTGATCCAATCAGATACAGTTTCACACAATTTGTCCGTCACAACAAATCACAGCCTTTTGGCAACAAAGCTGATGGCGCCTGTCATCAACCCTCAGCACAATCCGACCTATGCGATCCTGGACAACGGATGTACCAGATCCATGGGCAGCTGGCATGCAATCCAGCGTTTTACTCGGGCCATCGAACCCATGAAGGACATCATTTCCTATCAGTACATCCCGGCCGAGACCAAGTTCACTTTCGCGAACGGAGAGACAGCCAAGGTAAATTGGACCTTGCATCTCAAATATCACACGACTCCTCCACGCAGTACCAACATCGACATCCTTGAACAAGGCACTGTACCGATTCTCCTCAGCATCAGTCAGATGCGGAACCTCTACATGACCATTGAGCATACACCTCAGTGTGACAAGATCACATGCAAGGCCTTTGGCATGGACCGTCAAGCAGTTCCAGTATCCGGTACAGGACATGCACTCGTCGATCTTGCTGGAGTAGCAAGAGTGAAATTACACGGAGAAATTGCTATCAAAGGCCTCACCAACTATGTCTACGATGATGACAACAGCATCAAGTTTCCCTCCGGGGACATCTCGAAGAGTGAAACTGTTTGTGCATCCAAATCATCCGAGACAAAAGAGGACATAGCAACTCCGAAGATCATTGGGTCTCTCAAGCAGGACCACTGGATTCTTGACAAGAAGAACAAGCAGCTCACCCGTGTGCGCATGACGCCTAGAAAGGCATTGTTCACACCGAACGGAGCCAAGGAATGTCCAGTGCCTCCTGACAACATCAGCCGAGAACGTACAACAGAATTCATGAATTCATTGATGCATCCAAAGGCGGAGATCCAGAAATCCTAGAAGACAACTGGCGTCTTACATCCCAGGCGAACAAACCATTGATCAACCTGTGGACAGGTAAGACCATCTTCACCTTCGCGGACAACTCACTAAAGGATGAGGAAGCAGGTTCCGGATCGGCAGCAGACAGGATCATCGACAAGAAGGGCCAGTCGACTATTGAGCCAGATCCTAGAGCACCATCCAAAGATGAACCAACATCACTTCCACTTGCCTTAGGCAGAATCCATCAGCGATTGTCCAAACCCGAAGAGTTGAAGAAACTCAACCTTCAGCATCATCACATGACAACCGACCAATTTCGATTCAGAACTCGTGCGCTTCACTTGCCAAAATCAACATACGATCTATTTGACAAGATCCGAGATGAATGCGAAGTTTGCCAAGCGGCAAAACAAGCACCATCCCGAAGCAAAAAAAGCGGACTTCGAGCGGACACATTCGGTGACATGACTTTCATGATCACTGCCAAGTTCCTCTTGGAACAGGAGAGCACATCATTGTTTTTGTCATCCTGGATGGAGCAACAACATTGCTCACTGCAGAGGCAGTGACAACTACTCAGGAATCCGAGAACATCACTGTCCTCAGGAACTACTTTGACCAATACCACTTGCAGCCCAAATCAGTTGTCGCAGATCAAGCCTTCATGACGGAGTCATGGGAACATTTCTATCAATCCCTTGACATCACACCGATCTCATTGGGACCGAAGACACCATGGCCGAATCGAGCTGAATCCGCAGTTCGACTCCTGAAGGCACAACTAAAGATCATGCTTAGTTCCATCATCCATCAAGGCAGGCACAGCACCTGCAACACTGAAGAAAGTGACATACAGACAACTTGTGAAGGCAGCTGCAACTGTCAGAAATCAAACCGTCACCTACGGGGGTGTGACACCATTGGAACTTGCATTCGGAAGACGACCAGCAGATCTCATCCAACTTGATGTCGCAACACCAACTCAGTTGACGATTGACAGGAATGAAGAAGAGCTTACAGCCATCCAGATCAAGCAGCTGTCCAAGCAAGCATTCCAAGAAGCTCGTCAATCCGAAGACATCCGACGAGACCTTGCTCAGAATCTCCGAATGAGTTCTAAGCCTCTCCAGTTGAAGGACAAGGTATTTTACTGGCAGGAAGACAAATCCAAGATTCGTTCCGATGGAAGCAAGGGAGGAATTTGGTTAAAGGGAAAAGTCATTTCCCTCGAAGGAGCAATGGTTGGACTTGACCTTGGAACCCGTCTCATCAAGGTCAACATGACGAAGGTCAGAAAGGATGAAACCATCCCTCCGGGGAAACCTGGAATTGACTCTTTTTTTAGATGAGAAGGAATCTTTGCAGAAAGAACAGGGTGGACCTTCATCCGAATCCAAAAAGGGATCATCCATGCCAGCTCCTAAGCCAGCATCCTCCAAGTCACTACGCATTGCGGGCAAGACGACTCCCAAACCTGCAGCACCTGAGCCAGCAGAGACCATGTTCGTGGAGGATCTCACATCCATTCCTGAAGAAGCACATTGGAACTGTGTACGTAAGGGAAAGATCCACGTTCTAGAGATCTTTGCGGGAGAAGCAAGATTCAGTCAGTGTTGTGCGCTTACAGGTCTAAAGGTTGGGACTCCCGTTGACATCCGCAACGGATTCGACGTAATGACATCCAAGGGACGACACATGGTCATGGAGATCATCAAGGAGCAAGCTCCTGATCTCATCCTCATGGCACCAGTCTGTGGACCATGGTCAAACATGCAGAACATCCAGAAAGACCAGCAGAGAGTCTGGGAGAATCGAAAACGCTACCTCCCAATGGTTGAGTTCGTGGCATCCATTGCGCGGTATCAGTTGAAGCACAGAAGATATTTCATCATCGAAAATCCTCAGACATCCAGGATCTGGTATCTGCAATGCATGCAGCAGCTATTTTCAGATCCATCCGTGACCTGGGGAGATTTCCATTTCTGTGCATATGGACTAAAGGATCCTGAATCCGGACTCAGATGTCTCAAGCCCACAAGCTTGATGCACTGCCGGTGAAACACGAACACCAACACCTTGAGGGTAATGCCGGCACCTTCGGAAGCAGAACCAAACTGGCACAGGTATATCCTTTCCAGTTCTGCCAGGATTTAGCGCATATCATCCTGCGACACCTGAAGGTGAAACCGCTTGACAACGAGGTGTACCTTCTGGAGGACATCTTCGAGCCGTTCACCGACAAGCAGAT